AACTACAAATTCAGATACACATAATAAAATAAAAATATCGCGTATTTTTATTTTATTATGTATATCCGAATTTGTAGTTTGCGTTATTAATTCATGATACCAGTTGTAACAACTTTGTAACTAGCAATAAGTATTTTATATTCTTGCTCGTTAAAGCCTTCAAAATAAATCTGTTTATAAAAAGATAAGTTATATTCAAAGTGTTTCGGTAGAAAAAATACATATATTTGTTGTAAGAAATGAATACAACATTTAAAATGATTTAAACACATCTCATTATTACTTGCCGACTCTCAAGATTTTTTGGTGCAAATTATTGAATTCTGCGGTAAGAATTGTAAAAATAATTTATATTCTGTTTATAATGTAATGTAAAACACAACACGAAACGTGTGATCTGTCATCGAAACGGTCGAAGGAACGTGTGGGCAGACACTTTCTCTTGGCTGAATGCCATTTGATTAAAGAACACAGTGTCGATGCAACGGCAATCAACGGTAATGATGTTGCCGAAAGCATACAGTAATACGTAACGTCATATATATGTGCACACTGTAAAAATATATGTAAAATTACATAAAACATGTGTAAAGTCACGTAAATAATTAAGTGTAAAATTGCACGATAAATAATGAAAAATATGTATATACATTTACATTATTTATCGTGTAATTTTACACTTAATTATTTATGTAATTTTACATATTTTGATATAATATATTACATATTTTTTCGATGCGCTGCTACAGCTTTCTCTCTCGCGCGTCTCTACCTATATAAAAGTAACTATAATAAATAAATTTACCTCTAGTATGACAGTATGAAAGAGGAAATGACAAATAACGAAAGAGAAAATATCGCACGTGTGTACCAATTTTATCTCTTTCCGCACCGGGATCGTTAACTTAATACACCTCCGTCTTGAATGTTTATTATTGAGAAATTTAATCACGCGCGAATATTTTTCTCACATTTTCATTTGGCATCGTTTTTAACCAGCGACATACATGTATGTACATACGGTTATGTAATTGTCATATAAAATGTAATAATTTTTTGTTTTAAAACTGATTTCTTTTTTTTTTATACGTGAAAATTAAATAATTTTAACATTTTAGAACGTTTCTCGACAGTATTTATACAATATTATCTATCGTGCAATTTAATAATTTTTTGTTTTGAAAAGAGATGCGACTTTAATCATATATTTAATTTATTCTTTGCAAATATTTCACATCTAACACGGTATTTTTCTCTGAAATAAATTTAATGGAAATTTTAAATATAAGATGTATCATCTCTATATTTCCTTATTTTGTGAACTTTGATTTCGCATTGTTTCGATACACGTATAATTCAAATCCAGCTGATATGTAGCAATGATTGAATCGCTAATATAAGATATATAAAATGCACATTTTTTTCTTTATTATGAGTCTTTACATCACTTTTTATTTAAATCATTATTTATAATAGGACTATTATAACGATATATGTATGAACACATGTTGATACGAATAATATTCGCACACAATATGCTCAATGTTAGTGATATAAATATCGATCAATATTTAGAAAATACACAATGCTGATGTAAAGATAGCGAGAAAAAGATAATAATCGTGAATATTGCTGTAATTATTTCTGGGCGCAGTATCTACAATAAACAAATAATAAACCAGAAAAAAGCGATTAAGCGAGAAAAAAATGATGAATGGTATTTTTAAATCAAAGCACAAATCTAAAATAAAATAGAATAAAAAGAATCGCTTTATCGCTTCAATCGCAAAAATAACATACATATAATAAAAATATAATAAAAATAATAATCTTAAATAAACATACATATATTCTTATATTCCTCCCTGAAGAGTTACACTTTTCTAAAGGAGATAAAAATTAACTTTTTATATATTAATTTTTTTAAATATTAATAAATATAAAATTATATAAAACTATATTTATATTTTATAATTATATTTATATTTATATTTTATATAAATTTTTTAAAAATATTAATAAATATCTTTTTATTAGTGAAAAATATCCACCAAGTTTAATTTTTTTAATTTGTCTGAAATTGGAGAAAAAAAATAAAAACTTGATTTTTACTTCTCAATAAAAAACATATTTTTCAACATTGAAATTTCATGATTGTTTCGTCGCATGACGAGTGCATTTTCTGGGTGTCTGCACGCATGGCACTCTCGAATGGAGAGCAGAGATGCAGAATTATGCGTATAACGACCGCTGCATAGTTTCTACTCCGCAATACACGCGTGTGCGGTTGTGTGGGAAACACACGTTCACTGTCCAACTATAATTCCTATGGTTAGGTTTGCCAATTATGGCATGTGTTGGAACACGATTAGCACCGAAATAGAATACCTACTATCGGTTTATATCGTCGTGCGATGCGATTCCCTGCATTCTATCGTTCTATTTTCAATTTTTCCCATATCTACGTGCTATAATTTTTTACAATCGAAAATTATTTTCTTTATAATTGGATATTCCTTTTCTTTGCTATTACATATTCTCGCATTTCAGGATGCGAGAAAAAGTTTATACAAAATCTTTTATTTTGACAGAAAGATTATATAAAGAAAATTTGGACTGCAACAATAAATGAAAAGTATTTACAGTTTGGAAAGGCAAAAAATGTAAAAATTACTCAATTATTATAATACATTGATATTTTATAAATAACTTATTTTTTGCAACTTTAATTGCTGTTACTATCATACTTATTTAAATATGATATTTACATTTACTCTATTTTTTCGTATTGAGAAGGATTAAACGATTTTATGTAATAAAATTATTCATATGCAGATATTGAATTCTCTCAAAGTATGTTAAAGATATACTTTGACAATTTCCAACATTTTAGGCAAGTTAATAGAAACTTATTTATTATATGTAAATATTTAAGAATATTTAGAATATAAATATATAAGAATATCTTTATATTTTACTTCTGCATATAAGGCACTGATAACCTGTTGCTTAAATTTAACGTATAGATATTTATAGTTCTGCAAGCTATCTATACGTATATCTATATAGGTCGATTAAAATACTTTTTTAATTCTATATTTATAAACGCATTAAGATATTCCTTTCAATAATATAAATTACGGGGAGCGATATAATTAATATTTAATTACACGGGTAATATATAAAAATCGCTTTTACAATGTAACTATGTAGTAGTGTTATTGTCTGAAAACATGTTCGCACAATTATTGTCCATGGATCATCTATATTTTTATTCGTATACACTTATTTGATATGCGGTTCTAATAAAATTCTTGTTTGGAAGCTAGCTTCTACAACTAAAGCAAAATTTATCATTTGACAGGAAAAACTTTACGTTGAAGAATTTATTTGCAAACAAATTTTGATTTGCAGACTTTTATCTGGCGTTTGAAAAAAGAAAGACTTTCTCTTTCTGTGTATTATTCCGTATTCCTTTTATTTAGAAAATTTTCTAATCATATTATCAAGTTTATATCAAATAGGTACGTAATAAATTATTTTTTCTTAGTTTTTTTTCTCGTGTAATCCATGTAAATAGTTTCTTCTCGTATATGTCAGATTACGACGTATTTATTACCATCAAAAGTTCATTTGGGTCGTGACTATTTTATCTCGAATTGACTCTTTTCTCGAATCGACAATTTTCGCAAGGCTGATCATGCTCGATGCATTTATTTATAATGTGTAACAATATAAATTTGCCTTTCGCGCATTAAGTTTGTATTTGACGCGCATTATACTAGTTTTCCTTATTGACATTTGCAATCGTTATCTTCATCTTTTCCTCGCAATCTTTACTTCTTTGATACTATGATACATTACATAACGATTAGTAAGATAATAATACACATGTAGGTATATATTAGCCGATAAGTTGCTAGTTTTATATTGTATACTAGGATTTTTATAAGTTGCTAATCGATATATTCGCAATTTTGTTACATATCAATACTATTTTTGAATCAATGACCTAAGATAAAAATGTTTAAACAGATTATAAACGCAGCACATTTGCGAATTACTGTTACGTTATCGAATAATTGGTAATTGCACAGAAAGTAAAACATAATATAAATATAAAGAGCAGAAAATTAAGATATTTAAGGATTATGTAATCTCTCGATTGGAGAATCAAATATTTGATATCTCGGAGAGAAGTTGGATCAAAATGACAAATATTTGAGTTGCAATACGATTAATCATTTGGTACAAATTGTTTAAACCATTCCAATATTGACTACGAAAGCTACGAAAGCGTAACGGAAGAAATCTTCATTTGAATATAAATATTCCTTTCTATTATCGTTACTCTAGAATATTACAGTCAGGATTTTTTCGAGACATAAACATATTTAATATTTTATGGAGTAAACTTGGTTTAGTTTTCAATATCGATTCAACGAAATTGCACCATTTATTGTGTATTACTGCAAGTGATTTTTCAAAACTTCCTTTTTCTCTTTACAGGATGTTTACAGGATACTACTTTTTTCCTTTTAAACTGTGGTTTTTTTTATTAATTTTGAGTCAATTTTTTCTTAATGAAAAGATATCGAAAGAAATAATTATTTAGTGCAATTTATTAATTCTCTCAACATTATGTATTAACATTACAATTTCTAATTATAGTTTTGTGTGCATTAAAATAAAATCTATTGTACTTGAAATTGATAAATATGAAATTATATTATCTATTTGTTAAACCTAAAGCGCCTAATGTTTAAAAAGATTTATTTTCAATCGAAAATTATGATGAATGCTTCGACATATTCTTGCAAAGAAAATATTAACTTAAACTCTTCTTTTTTCGTATTTCTGACTTGTTTATCAAGAATTGAATAGATTTTAATACTGAAAGAATTAATGTTGATAAATAAAAATGGTAAAAATCTAATACTGTTATTAATTTTCGCTTACTTGTTAATAATACTAACATGTGACGTTTCTTTTCTGTATAGGAATTTTCGCAGCTGACAAAAGAATTGGCAGGGGCACGAGAGAATATCTTGGAAAAAGAAGAGGAGATTTCCGAATTAAAGGCAGAACGAAACAACACACGCGTACGTAGTCAAACTTTGCTAGTTTTTTAAATCCTTTACGACCTGAATAAATGTTGAAAAATTTTGAAAGCATACCAGAGAAAGCATAATGAATAAATATAACAATAAATAAAAATTAGGGTCATAAAGTCACCATTACGTGATGTGACTGAATTAATGTAACTCAATTAATATAATTAATCGTTGCTTGCAGCTCTTGCTCGAACATCTGGAATGTTTAGTTTCACGACATGAAAGGTCGCTCAGGATGACAGTCGTGAAACGTCAAGCCGCCGCACAATCTGGTGTGTCGTCGGAGGTAGAGGTACTCAAAGCTTTGAAAAGCCTTTTTGAGCATCACAAGGCTTTGGATGAAAAGGTGATACTTGCCATTCTATTTCTGGTATATTGTTATTTGCCCTATCCGGTACTTGGGTTATTTGATATTTATTTCAAATCAAGAATAATTGGTTTATAAATGTTTCTTTCTATGCCTTAAGGAAAATAGATATTAGAATAGATATTTTGAACAAGAGACAAAGATAATGGAACGATTGAGATTAATCTTTTGGTCTCGTGCTGTATATATAAGTTTAATAAAATTACACAGGCAAACAAAATAGAAATGCACTCCAATTATGACGTGTACTATATCTATATCTGTTTTATTATTTTCATCTTACGATCGGTAAAAGAAAGAGGGGCAAAAAATTCGCTTATATCAATTTGCCACGTGTCTAAGCAATACGAGATGATAATGAAGCAATGTACACGTATGTGCGATACGTTTTGCGTCACATCATCGTAACTGTTTATACACACATGTCAAATATCTCCTGTCGTTGCATCGTATATGCATCGAGTTCTTTTCGATGTAAAGCCAAACAATGTTTTAAATCAACAGTGAAATGTTTTATCATTATTTGTTTAAAATTTCAGTTATTTCTAGCGAAAATATATGTGCCCGCTAAACGGCATCTGTAGGTGAAGGGTTAATGTTTCTGCTAAACTTTCAGGTACGCGAACGTTTGCGCGTGGCTCTCGAAAGAAATACGAGTCTTGAGGAAGAACTAACCCATACCAAAGAGGAAGTGAGTTTCGTGTTTGATTAAATTAAAAGATGGAAGAGTTTTATTGAGATTTTAAAATCGTATAGATGTGTCAAAAGAAAAGAAAATGAGTACGTGTGTGAGAAAGAGAAAAGAACAAGAAGTAAAATATAAAATACCATCACACTGCAACTGCTATCAACACCTAATGCGACGTGATGTATGGTTGCAGCTCCAGCAGTATAAAGTAAGCGGGCATCCACCAAAAGCTATAGAAGATAGACCAAAAGAGAATGGGCAAACGGACGAAGGTCAGCAACAGAATAAGGTATCAAAAGCAAATTGTTAATGCGATTTTAATCAAACATGTGTGCACATGAAATCACAAATATTCACATGTAAACACACGTCGCTTTCATATCTCGCACCGATCATGGATAAATGGAAATGTTTAAAATTGGTTTGAGAGTCGTGAAATGCATTTGTGGAACTTTTTCTCACTTTGCATGTTTCTCACGTTTAGCATATGCCTTTCTCTTTCTCATTCCTTTCCCTATTTGTTGACGTTTAGAATTTTATTTTGTTTTTACTTATTGCCAAAGTCTGTATCGAAAGCTACTAGTTTGAATAAGAGATATGAGTAAAAAAAGAACCAGGGTTTTGGTAAACAATTAACTTCTTTCATATTATTTATTACTAATATTTAACATCAATGACTTTTTTATCGCCGCAATTTTATTATTACGTCGCAATTTTAAAATTATACCATCCCATCATTTCATTTCATCATGTTTCATGTTTCATATCATGGGAAAATATTAAAGGTCGTAAATAAAATTACACATAAAATGATCATGACCATTCATACATTTACGTACATTTTTTGTTCAAGCGCACTTCTGTCTCAGATGATAAATGATAATGAGTCATTTTTTTAATTTTCCACTCATCGACTCGTTGCATTCATAAGACTGTATCTATCGTAGTGTCGTGCATGCTAGTCGTACAATCGCGTAGTTGTGTATACGTAGTTTTTTGGGAAGTGTGCGGCGATGCAGGACAGGCAATGCGAGCGAGGCATTCTGAATGTAGTGTTGTGATCGGGCAGAATGAGAGTCAGCAGCCAACGAGCCAGCAGCATCAGCAACACCAAACGCAGCAGCAACAACAACAACAACCGGTACAAAAACCAGGTACAGAGAAGTCCGCCGAAGTCGGCAGTAGGCTGAGCAATGGAAGTCTTGATCTTGCCGAGCAGGATGCAGCAGTGCGAGTAATAGACTTACAAGCTACTCTCGACAAGCAGGTACGAATTAGTATTATACGGCACTAAACGGCTAAGAAAATTCAATTGTTAATACAAAATATCAGGTAGTCAATCTCTATCTCTGTATGCAAATGTATATGTAAAGATCACGATTAATTTCCATAGTCTTATCACCGCAACACATTAGTTTTCTTTTAATCACATACACACACAAAATGGATATTATTTTCAATTATTTTCGATTTTGCATGAATTTTTCACTTTATGAATAATATTGAGCATAAACGTGTAAGTCAAATAAGTATATTAGGCAATATTCATTGTGTCGATTATCTCGACATGATTATAATTATAATAAGCATTTGTATAATATAGATATTTTTAGATAGCTTGTATTATATTGCATTTCGTAAGAAATTTTTTTTTCGTTTTAAAATAATTTTAAAAAAGCACTTATACATACACATTTCATTACATGTTTACTTTGTTATAGAGTGCATGAGAAAATTTCTTTCTAATTAAAGTACACGGTGTAGATTTTAGTCTTCCGAGATTTGTAAGAAATAAAATTATTTGTGTGGCGCATAAAATTATTTGTTATTAAATTATTAATTTTTAAACACACGATTATACATATATACACATTATTTACATACAGTGTCTTAAAAGGATAACGGATATGTTTGGAATAACAGATTTTTTTCAGCTAATTTTTTTAAAGATTCTTTTCTTTCCGAAAAGGTCTCAAAACATCAAGATCAATAATTTTCAAATTATAAGCGATTGAAGTACCTGTCAAATAAATAACACAACTATACACTTTTTGTTACTTTCAAAGAAAAAAAATTACTTTAATAAATTGGATTTATAATTTTAAACTGTTAGAGAAGTTGCAGAAAATAAAAATTATTATAAATGACGATCTTTTTTGATATTTGTACTGATATAAAAATTGACTTTAAATTGGTAAAAAAATTTCTCATTGAGAAGATACGATAAATTTATAATTATAATTCTATATTAAAGTAAATTTCTCTTTCTGAAACAAAAATTGTATGATTTTGTTATTTATTAGAAAAATCCTTCTTTTTAAATCGCTTGTAATTTGAAAATATATGGATGCATTTTCGCTAAAAAGAAAAGAATTAAAATTATGTCTGGCAGTTTTTTCAGACGCCTTATACATTAAGTGGTGCCGAGGCAGATCAAAAGTTAAATGTATAATTTAATTTAACATCAAACACCCAATCGTTAATATATTATAACATATAAAAAATATTTCGTGATATCTGTTATTATATTTTTAATGGTGTCTATGTAGCATGTTATGGAATGAGTAATAAATATTCATGTTAAATATTGTTTTGTAATTGCATGATTAGTGATTAAATATGGATTTTACTTAGGTCAATATTTCTTGTGTAAAAAGCTTTGTTGTTTCTTCAATGTGAGAAATGCAAAACAAATTAAAAACGATGGATACACGTATACACCTATGAATATACGCATATGACAATCTTCCTGAATTAATCTTATAGCGTTATGTAGGATAATTGTCGTAAGATTTGATTACGACAAAGAGTTTTACATACTTGAATTATATACCTTTTGATCTTTACACGAGCTGCTTGAACACTTTTTTTCAACAATTGGTCGATTTAAAGTAAATTGCAAAATATCATTGTAGAGTTCGGAATTAAGTAATTGGCAACGACGAGTAGCGGAACTCAGCGGACGTGTTGCCGAATTAGAGGAAACGCTATCAAAAACACAGAAGGATCTCCTAAAGGCACAGGAAGCAGGTCTTAAATTGCAAAGAGATCTGCGGGAAAATGCAGCGCAAAAAGAAGATCAAGAGGAGCGAATAGCGACTTTAGAAAAACGATATCTCAATGCTCAACGGGAGTCCACTAGTCTTCATGACCTTAATGAAAAGCTGGAACAGGAGTTGCAGCACAAGAAAGCTCAACTAAAGGTAGTTTAATTAATCTTTGCTTTAGAATTGTGTGTCTTTATTATAATTGTGTTTATCATATTGTATAATCTTATTAATGTAATATATATTATTCAAGCTCCAAGAAGAGAAAATCGCTGCTATACAGGAGAAACTAGAACTCGCGGAACAGAAATTAGCTCAATATGCTAAATTACCAGAAATGGAAGAGCAATTAAAACAGAGGATGGAGGCTCTGACGCAGGTGAGGAGGCCCAACCAGGTACGCAGGGGAATCATATCACGTCACATCTCGTTAACGTTCTTTCCTCCCCCCCCCCTTTTTTATTCCTCTGCACTTTAACGTTTCTGAGATACGATTTGTGTCTAGAGAGCTTTCTTAACGCATCGTTATTGCAAAGTGCTCTGATTATATTTGAGTTGATTTCAAATACTCGAAAAACAATAATTTGCTGCTCCATGTGTCTTATACTATTATACTCTATATGTACACATGTATGATATATAATAATAGCATTCAATATACATATAATACAGGTTGAATATTTTTATGTATTATTTTTATGCAGTGTTTTTGCAATAATTTACACTAAAATACACAATTTGTTTATATATACAGATACAAAAGCTAAAGTTACAAATTCAATTTATTTGCATTATAAAAGAAAATTCAATTATATTATTTTCTTTATTTTTGAAAATTAATTACACGTCCTATTTTATATGATTTGCAAACTGATACAATGCAGCATGTGTGAATAGTGGAAATCAACTTGGTCTGTACAAAATTTACTACTTTTGCAAGTGACGGATATGTTTCAAATATCATAATTTATAGTGTATCATTTTTGAATGTTTATATGAATATTTATATATGCGTGAGTGCGTGCGTGTGTGTATGGTATGTATGTGTGTCTTCATTCTCTTTTCTTTCTCTTCTTGCTCATCTGGATATATCGCGCTCTTTATTTTCTTGCTGTGTTTTCATTATAGAATATCTCATTTAGATCATATAGAAATATTAAGATAAAATTATATAGAGAAATTTATAAATTAAAAATATTATATGCTCTTACTAATTGTCTTGAATTACATTTTGATGTATCATCATATAAATATTTTCATTAATATAATATACATATTGTATGTTATGTCAAAATTTATTAAACAGATGAAAAGAAATAATTTTGTTAATATCAGTTTAACAAAGATAGATGTATCATTATCAAACATTTCATCATCGATATTAAACAGAGAAGTCGATTTAGCATTATAAATCAATTGATTTATGTAATTGATAATTTTAATTATGTAAAACATTTAAGCAGGCTCAGGAAAGGCATGGTAGTGCAGAGGATAGAATTCAAAGGCTGGAGACGCAATTAGAAGAAAAAAATGCAGAAGTAATGCGCGTTAATCAACGGCTTAAAATGAATGAGGAGCATAATACGCGTCTTAGCACAACTGTCGATAAACTTTTATCTGGTAATTTTTCCACTATTATATTTCTTTTATACGTCAGACGTATGTATTTAACATATATTTAAAAATATTTATTTATTTACCTTTGTAATACGCTCAATAGTTATTTAATTACATGTTTAAAAATTAAAATACATATATCACACAATATTATATTATACATACATATACAGTAAAGAATTTTATATAATGTGTTCTAAGAATTTTTTAAATTTCTATTTAGAATCCAATGAAAGATTGCAAGTGCATTTGAAAGAAAGGATGCACGCGTTGGAAGAGAAAAATGCGCTTACTCAGGAACTCGAGAAGACAAGGAAATTAGCGGAGGATATGCAAAATGAAAAGACTGACATTGTTAAAGAATTAGGAAAAGCGCGCTTAGAAATCGACAATGTTAAGAGACAAATGCTTCAACAGGAGATTGCATTTAATATACAGCAAACGGACGCGTTAACGAGAAGTTTATCTCCAAATGCCGTAGATCCAGGTTCTTTCTCAAGGAGCGCAAGTCATAGCAGTTTTGATACGCATTCATTGCCTAGAAGAGGAGGTAAACGATCTATCGAAGATGATTCAGCAAAGGTATTTATATCGAAATATAAAAATTATTTATTAATTGTATACATATCTAAAAATAAATGTATATAACATAAATTGATGCTCTTTAGAATTATGTGGCACGGACTTTGGCGGAACAGGAGTGGGAAAAATTGCAACAAGCGCATGTGCTTGCCAACGTTCAGCAAGCGTTTGATGTTTCGAGCGACGCGGAGGGTGACGGAGATAACGAAAGTATTTTCAGTTGTACGGGTGACGTAATTAGTCCTACCGGACATACGGATGCTCAAACATTGGCGTTGATGTTGCAAGAACAATTGGATGCTATTAACAAGGAAATTAGATTAATTCAGGTAAATTAATATACGAATATTATTTTGAGCAAACTAAATTCTGAATTTTAAACGATTAAAGTAGAATGTATCATATACATAATATACAGTATAGTACTAACTTTTTATTAACAAAAAATTAAAAGACATTATAATATGGTTAGATTTTAAGTTTTAAACGATTAAGTGCGCAGTAAAACGTTACTTTTTAACATTTAATTTTAACCAAAAATTATGTTAACAGTTTAGTAATTTAAAAATTAGTTACAATTTAATGTGTGAAGTTTTATAAATGGATATCTATTTTTTTTAAATATGCGCGCAAAAAATAATGGCACCTATTTTTATTGTGAAAAAGATTGATTCTTACTCACTACTTTCGGTGATTTTGTACGCATTTCGAATTTTATAGGAAGAAAAACAAAGTACGGAAGCACGAGCAGAAGAATTGGAATCTCGCGTCGGCAGCCTCGAACATATGAATTTGTTAGCGAGAGGGCGAAGCCTCGAGCGAGCATCACCGCCACTGAGTGGTCGATCCACTCCAAAGTCGCATCATAGTCCAAACAGAGATTACTTGCACAAGTACCACACCGTTAGTAATCACGTAATATTGCTAATTATAATTATTACATGTTAATTACAATAGTGTAATTACAGTAAGCAAATTCTAATCACATTACTCTTTTATAATGTGTCCCTATTCTTTCTCTTTTACGCAGGCACCCGCGTCAATGTCTCCAGCGCATTTACATCAATATGCTGCTTCCTTAGCTAGTCCGGGTCAATTGTCAGAGTCTCTTCCTGCTAGCCAGGTTTGCTAATAATTTACTTTTATTATATATTTAATAATTTACTTTTATTAACCCGAAGCGAAATATTTAACGTATTTATTGAATACAGATAAAAGCATGAAACATTTACACAATTTTAAAGTAATTTTTATTAATTGAGACATAGTTAAAATTAATTTCAAAATATTTTCTCTGAAAAGTTTTCCCATGTTATTTAGAAAAAAATGAAGAAAAACAAACAACTTTTTTAATAAAAAAAAACGTAGAATTTAATTTAAAAAATTGAAACTTTTTATATCACACAATTCTATAAATGATGATTTAATAGACACAGAGATAATAAGCTCTTTATGTATGTATATGTGTACATGCGTGCACAATCAATAATGGTAGTAATACTATGAAGCATTTTTTATAAGGAAAATATTTCATACATACATACATACATATATATGTATATACACACACATATAAATATGAAATATTATAATATATATACAGAGAGCGAATAAATATTACTTGTTTGTGACAGTTACAGTTGTCAGGAGAAGAATTACACTCGGTTAGCGAAAGAGATAGCGGCGGTGCGGGAAGTGGTGGTAGCGATGCAGCTTCTCCTCTAACAGCCAGATCACTGAGGTTGGAACGAGTCGTTCAAGCGTTGGCTCACAGTCAGGAAGAACTTAGAAGGTATATTTGCTATTTTGCCAAGTTTTCGATTTTCTAATCAATCACTATGTTAATTGATATATCTTAATACAATGTTCATATTTATAGTGTAAATTATATATATTTGGCTCTTTATCTCTTTTCGACATTTTGAAAAATTATAAAATTTAAAATATTCTATAATTATAGAGGTGTGAAAACATTCTGCAGAAAATATCGTGCTGTGATTCAATGTGGGGAAACCTTAATTATTAATCTCTATCTGTTATCTTACTTACATTGTTTCCATGGAAATGTGGAACTGGCCAGAATTTATATATCATAATTTTTTTTTAATTATTCCTACCTTTCATTGTTTATGCTATCAGACGCACTGGACAAAGTGGATTTCCAAGCAGTGGTTTCCCCACGCACAGGTTAATTAAAGAAATTAATATTGCATGCAAACCATATTATTATATGCCACTGTGTACGACACATTTGAATATGTCTGGTGGGCATGAAATGAACAACTTTGAAATCAAATCAAATCACACTGGTAATATGGTGTTTATTTTAACCACTACTTTACTATTTAAAATTATAGTTTAATCAGTTAATATACAATATATATATACAATAATTTACAGTACTACTTTACTATTTAAAATTATAGTTTAATCAGTTAATATACAATATATATATATATATATATATATATATATATATATATTGTATATGGTGTGTGCATAGTATGTCATTTACATGCCTGCAGTAACGATTCACGAGCACAGTGGTATGGACGAAGCGCCCGATAAATCTGATAAATACGAAATCCCGAAAGGGATCGATAATTTCTTCCGTTCGTCGTACATTCAAGCCTGCTCAGTTCATGATAAACATCGCAATCTCAGACAAACTAAGTTACTTACGGAATCGAGAGAATTGGATTTGATGCGTGAAATACAATCTGTCTCGTGCACAAGGTTGTAAAAAATAAAATCAGAGATTACAAAGATACAGATATATTGAATATTGCATAAAATATGGCGATATACAAGATTTAATACAATTTAATTATACAATTTAATTAACACAATATAGTTTAATATTTGGAATAGCGTTCTTGTTTATAAAATTTTTAGATTTCAATGTGCAACAATTATGACATTTTGTTATATCGTTAATTTCTTTCTATAAATATCTTTGTAATCTCTTTATATTACCGATTTTCATGACAATTCTATTTTATATAGTGGGCAGTATTTCTAAATTTTTATTTCTAAGGTATAATACTATGAATAGGTATTATACTTCTTCTTATTATTGTTTGTACACAAAAATATCATTTAATATTTTGTAAATGTAAAATATTATGTAGAGTATTCTCTTTTTTCTCTTATTTTTCATGATTTATTAGATATGCTTATATTAATTTTATTATTTGGATAATATGCTCTAATACATTTTTATATTTACTATATAATACATATAAGCTCATATGTCACAGCTATTTTGCATATAACTGCATCACAATTCACTCGAGTCTGTAAGTTACTTTCTTTGAGCACTGCAAAGTGTAGTAGAACTAAAAAAAATTACATAATAATTACATAATCTCTTTTTTTATTCATTATAACGCGAAAGCAGTATTACAAAATATATTTTCAAATTATTTATGACATCATTTATCAGCAAACCACATAAAATAGTATATTCTGCAGGAGATATGACGCTAAAACAGTAATTATATAATAGTAATACAGAAATGATATATAGAAAAGATATATATGAATATTTTCGCGTGGGCTAGAATGTAGTATCGATAGTAGCATCGATTAGAGTAGAAATAGAAATTAGATTAGCGCTCCATGCAGCAGGCATGGACAGCATAACAACGGCGCACTGAATTCTGGAACTCCCCCTTCCCCATTGTCCTCACGCCACAGCAGCCAGGACAGCTTGCACAAGAACAACTTCTCCAGCGTTGGACTGCCTATCGGACAATTGTCGACGTCGCATTTGCACATGCAATCGAACATGAGTCCCGCTACGGCGGCTGCGGTCGCGGCTGCTCAAAAAAAGAAAGGCATTAAGGGCAGCCTTGGTAGATTTTTCAGTAAAAAGGACAAGGTAAGACATTTTTTCTTCCTAATATAATATGACTTAGGATATAGGAATTTGAAAACATGAATCTTCATCATGAGAATTTTGAGATGCATTTTGAAACAATATAGTAAACACGTTAGTATATGTAGCTAATTTTACACTATATGGCTATTTTTCTCAATTAAACACATAAAATTATAGATAAATTACAATGTAAAAATACGCGTTTCTTATATGAAATATTTTGTTGAAATAATAAATACATCGTTTGGCAAATGGTCGACGCATCTCATTGTCAGATTTTCCAATAGGAAGGTTCACCGTGAAATTCCATTGACTTTTATACATCAATGTGACATGTGTGGAAAAAAAGAATGGAAATAATTTAATTATCGCAAATTACAAAATCCATGTGACCTAATTAAAACAATCATGATTTGTTATTGTTAGATTAAAGGAAAAGATACACCGATGCCTGGAGATATGTCAGGTATGGGAGGTGCGAGCACGCCAGCTGATCCTGACTATGGAGACAGTGTATCTGTAGCTGGTACACTTGGAAGCAAAAGTGATTTTGATCGTAGAAAAAAGAAGAGGTATTTACATCAAAATTATAACACTCTACTATTTTAATTCTTCTAAACAAATACGAATTTTAAATTAGAAATTTAAGAAGGAAATTGTATAATGTAGTTTATTTAATTTATATAATTAATAATTTATGTATGTATCTCTTTATTCTTTTGTTTGACTTTTACAACAAAGATTAGTACTTGTTAAATATTAACTTTTGTTCTCATATCTATTCTCAGTAGATGTAGTTGTCTAAGGGCGTTTTCCAGCAAGCGACACAGACGACACAGAGTATCATTTTATCTTCTTTCAACACCAGCGAACAACAAAGATAGAATGATACTTTTCTACTATTAAAGCTACTAAATTAATCTATTATAATTAATCTTTTCTACGCTCAAGAGTTATATATGTATTAAGTAAAACTTGTATTAAAATAGTTTTTCTTACATTATATAGCCGGCAATTATCACCCAAATACCGCAGTATGCATATTTAAAAATTTAATCTTGTTGCATTACATATAAAACAATATTGAGCTCGTGGAAATAATAATATGTATTACAATTTTTGTATGCATATTTATTTTAGTCCGAGTATGTTTGGTAGTATGTTGGACTCTTCGCGGCATGAGCTTTTGGCGGAAGCGATGAAAGCAGGGACACCTTTCGCCCTATGGAATGGACCAACGGTAGTCGCGTGGTTGGAGCTGTGGGTGGGCATGCCAACGTGGTATGTCGCTGCTTGTCGAGCAAACGTCAAAAGCGGTGCTATCATGAGTGCTCTTAGCGATACCGAGATTCAACGAGAGATTGGAATAAGGTATTAAGCAAATCACACTTGCTTAAAAACAAAATAAAAACAATCTTATAAATAGTTACATATCTATATTTTTGTAACAGCAACCCCTTGCATCGATTAAAGCTGAGATTAGCCATTCAAGAGATGGTGTCGCTTACGAGTCCGTCAGCGCCAAAAACCTCTCGCACAACATTAGCATTTGGTGATATGAATCACGAGTGGATAGGTAATGTTTGGTTACCGAGTCTCGGATTGCCCCAATACCGATCCACTTTTATGGAGTGCCTTGTTGATGCTAGAATGCTTGATCATCTTACGAAGAAAGATCTTCGTGGTCAACTGCGAATGGTTGACAGCTTCCACAGGTACGCAGAAAAAACAGTGTTTCAATAAAACAATTACAAAAATCATTTTAAAGAAACAAGTTTACATTATTAATATTATGTATATATTAATGTTAACGCTATTTATATTAATGTTGTTTATCGCTATTATTACGTTTATTATCATCGTCATAATTATAATATTAATACATTCCAGAACAAGTTTGCAGTACGGTATTTCCTGTTTAAAACGATTAAATTACGATAGGCAACAATTAGAAGAAAGAAGACGAATGGCAGAAAGTGCCAATATAGATGTACTCGTATGGAGTAATGATCGTGTTATAAGATGGGTACAGTCGATTGGTTTGAAGGTTGGTTCGACATCTTCTGATACTTTGTTACATACAGTTGCGAAAAAAAATTATATTTAATTAATTTGTATAGGAATATGGGAATAATCTCTTGGAATCGGGTGTGCACGGCGCACTTATAGCTCTAGACGAAAGTTTCGATGCAAATAATTTTGCGTTAAGTTTACAAATTCCCACACAAAATACGCAGGTAAATACACGACATGTAATGGACGAATTACGAAATTTTATCTTCTATATTATTACTGTGTAAAAACTCAAACGCGCCATTTTATCTTTACAGGCAAGACAAGTACTAGAAATGGAATTTTCAAATCTATTAGCGGTAGCGACAGAGAGACGACTGGACGAGAGTAGTAGCATGAAATCCTGATCCAGTTCGTCAAGTCGACTATCTCATATTCAACCGCATCACGTCTAGTCCAAAACCCCAGCTATCGTTATTATCTAATGCGCAAGTGTGTTGTAAAAATTATAAGAGCTTTAAGTATCATGCTAGGAATATCTTCACATATGTGACAAATGTGACATTTTTTGGTAATACTGAGGTGTGTTTTGACATAAAACTGTTAAGAGATAAGCTTACACGATACATTCGATACTAGGGATGCATTTTATTTATTTTTATGTCGCACATGCATCAATTTATATATGTGTCGCATACCTCTTGATACTTCTGAAAACAAGAAAAGCTAATTATTCCGAGCAATTTTTCATATAGATATCGAAATGTAGCAGGCAGTCGTTGGATTGTTATATATTATTAGAAAGACATTGTAAGAATAGAGCACTTCCTTTGAAAACTCGAAATATTAGTTGCAAACAATTATGACAATAATTCTTCCTGAGTTAGCTTGGTTTGTTTGTAAAATTGGTAATCCATAGTCTCTCAGTATTACAACGCCGCGTAATAGAATATACATATGTATTAGTTATACGATTATCGCGCGTTCGTATGACAGCGTACTTATAACATTCGATAAATACTTGAAGCGCAGCGTAAGTTAACTTTATACCGCGCACAAAGATATAGTGGAAAATCGAGAGTTTCTAGGATATATCGTTGCTTTTGAAGAAATCGTTGCAAGATGTCGTGTAATACGATCGGGAAGGTGAGATTTATTTAAAAATTATAACACGGAACAATTTTTTTATAAAACTTTGTTTTCTCCCCCTTTTTTTTATTAAATTTAGATTAAATTTAAATACGATCGAAAGAATCTTGTTACGGGCTATTAGACTCCATTAGATATCTATAAGTATAAAAGCAACAAATGTAAGATTTTATTTATAAAAAAATTATATTTTATGTAGAATTTTTTCAGTAATTATTTTTAATTAAATGAAAGGATGCGTCCTGCTCATTATTTGACAATGATAAAATGCCTATACATATAATTCTTTTCTTTTTAATCGTAGGAAAATATGTTTGAGAAGGAGAAAAGGATATTTGTTTTACAAACGCGCATTTTAGTTATAACAAATTTTTTTCAATATTACAATATTTTTCTATCATTGAGAATAAGAAATATCTTTTTATACATACACGCATACACATTCTTAATTTATTTTATGTAAATCGATTTTTCTAGTCAATTTGCATATAAAAATATCAAGCTGTAAGATCATATATTAAAAAATCAAATAGTTTACGGGATATATATTATATTTTTTATATTCCGATATATTTTGACACGTACTATATAAAAATATATATGAGGTATCATATATATATATATATATATATAGATTTTTCTAAAATGACTTTTAATACTTTTATGTACAAAATAATGATATTAATCGATTAATGCAAAGAAAACATACTTGATAAATTATAAAAATAATACAATTTTTATATTGCATCTGTGCAATTGCCAAAATTAAATCTATTATATACGATTTAGAAAAAAATATATATATATACAAAGGATTATTTAAAATTACAATGATATTAGATGAAAAAAATGTTTCGCTTAAATTTTCAATCACGTCGAATCGTTTCCTTCCCGCTTGTATTACGGGAACGCTTGTGCTGTAAATGTGAAATATTCTGTATATATGCTGTACATCGAGGAGACTGCGTTCTATGTTTCTGTATCTATAGGTAAGCTCTGTGCGCATAGAAATTACAGATGATTACTTTTCACGAACAGAGCTCCATAGTATTCAGTTTTCTCCATTATTTTGATTAATTCGATGAAATGCCTCCAGGCATTATGTATATTAGCGCGTGATATATTGCAAAGTTATACGCAAGAAGAGCGAAAGAGAGAAAGGCGCGATTAATGTGCTATTTACCAAAAGGATTATAAAAATGGACATTTTATACTATAAGATATTTGCAAATGGTTGTACAATGTGTGTTAGTAAATGTGTTATATAAGATTAGACGACTCAATTACATTTCGTAAATGGGGCTACCGACCAATTTTATGCATAATGTTTACAATAATCATCGGATATAATATTTTCAGCGGGCGATTATCCACATTATCATGGATATTATTAATGCTATGATACATTACATTGCGTCGGAAAAAATGGCTTCACTTATGAAGTACGCGCGCGCAGATACTTTTATATATTATCTCCTTTTAGATATAAGTATATAGCTCATTGTTAATAGAGACACGGTCGGTAGCGGGACAATGCAAAATGTACTATAATTGTGCAGCAAAGAAACTGTACGATCGCACGGAGGGGGAATTGACCATAGCGACAATTAAGTATACTACATATAGAAATGATGTTGCTGAAGACAATGATCGCGCGTGATGGTAATCATTATTATTGCCACTTATACAAATATCATATAAAAAGCTAAAGATGCGGCGAAAGACTGAGACATTGATGGTTATTGTAATAATGAAATGAACTGATCGAAGAGATAAAAAGGGAGGAAAAAAGACGATCACAATAAGGACGATAAGTTATAAATGCTGATGTTGTTAATGTTGTTGATACTTGAGCAATCATTGTTGTTGATTGTTTGTTTTCCATGAACATATACTCTTCTTGCAAGCTATTCTATTCATCGTAGGCTCCATGGCTCTGCACGATCTTCCGAATGGGCGTAAACGTACCAAATCATTTTCACCAAAGATTTTATCGAGTATATCATTCATGCATTGATTCTTCGTTGATTACACACGCTTTATAGGCGCTTCGAATTATATGTTGATATTGCGTTATCGATATATGTAGTTTTTCTTCTCGCATACTTGTATCACAAGGCACACTTTTCGATAATCAGACATACTGTTGCGTTAATCCAAAGCAACTTATGCTACCTCAGTACCGAAGTACGATGTGTTTTTTGGTTTTCATTCACAGACGCATCAAGCGTTGATTTTGCATGTCCCGTCCTTAATACGCTGCAAATTGCAATTTATGTATATATTATGTAAATCACTCGACTAATTACGCGCGAGTATAACAGGAATTTTGACATAACAAGAATAAAAAGTACATACGTATATTTATTCGTTTACTTTACTGTACAATAGTATAGTTACTTTCAACATGGATGTGTAATGTTACTTTTGCACGTAATAAATTTTCATTTTTTCACAAAGTGGTATCGATAACGTCGTACGAAAATATCACGGACTATATTGTTTATTTCTATCTTTCGAAAATTTTGATTTCTGTTTTCTCTATTATAATAATAGAAACTAATGGGAAAATTATTGTGTATATATATATATATTATTTTCTATATATAAATATGGACGTGTATAAAGATGTTTGTCTGCATTTTACAGAACATGGCCGTCTCTCCCCTTCGGAAGAGTCTGCAGTATTAAGTGTATAAAGTGACTGAGCATTACTTTTAATGTGTGATAGTTAATAGTGTCTATAGACATTCCAGAAGGACCTTCCAAAAGAAAAAAAGTAATTGCGTATATGCACGTCATGGATTATAATATGTATTAGCTTCGCGCGACGCCTTCTATGTATCTAAATGTAAATGTATACATAATGATATATGAAAAAAGTATCGCAAGGTTCAGCTTTTTTGACAATTGATCGCTATTAGATAGAATTGGAGTAAAAAGCAAAGAAATAAGAATTTGTGAATGATCCCGCTTGTAAATGTATATTTTTCCCGCGAAAATGTTGATCCAACTTTGCGTCTTGTTCTCATCAAAAGTCTACGTATACTATATGTAAAATGTACAATCAACGTGACATCAAATATTCTTATATGGACTTTAAATGAAATAACACATCGAAATGGACGTCGCCGAGATATGTATGTAACGTCACATATTCTCGGCGAGAGAATATCTTGACGTTCCATTTCGTTTGCTGTCGTTCCGTATAATGTGCATCGCGTCATCCATCATCGTCATCTTCAAAGCTCAATTTCTTGTTGGCCTTTATTATAACGAATTAACTTATGCACATTAATTTTGCTTAGATTTTAATTTGATTAATTCATGCGACCTGTAAATAATGAGAGTATTTGAAAACTTGCAATATTTATTTTGTCTTTACGATATTTTCGGCAATCTTTTTCGTTTCTTTTTGTTCAAGATCATTGCAGGTATTGCCAATTTGTTGAAATTATATTTCGTTTTATGTGGTAAAAGAAATCTTAAAATTATGTTAAACTGAAATAGCGAAAACGATGGGTGACGGTGATTGTCAGTTGACCTTAGTCATGATGTGTATATAGGAAACACAATATGAATAGACAGTGATGTAACATTTCATCATGTATAGGTTTTCATTTTTCTACATCGACTTGTGTTCAATTTGATTCAATTTTCTACGTTGCAATTATTCACACGTGTCGATTTTTTTATTGCAATTGCATATTGATTCACATATTGTCTTCAGCAATAGTAGAAGATGTGTTCGCGCGAAAAAGTTCGAGTTCGATATCGAACATACGTCATCTTTGTGCACTCTTAAAAATATATGATAAAAAACCTACTCCCTTTTACACACATACACACACACACGCATACATATCACAAAACAAGCAGTTTTATCGAGTCTTATAGTTTTTGATCCAACAATAGTTTGGTGAAACCACTTTTGTACGATAAAACGTATAAATAACATTAATCAAGCGTGATATCGATTATTTGATTTGAAAAATTCGGCCGGGTTGAAGAAAAAAGATTTTAAAGTTATTTGAATTTTTGTACAACATATATATTTGGGCGTTATTATTATACTATTAGTAAATGTATATATAAGTATGCGTATGTACGCGCATATGTGTATATGGATATCGTGTGTGTACATATATATATATATATATATATATATATATAAATTATTTATTAACAATTTCTTGTAATATTTCAAACAGTCTAGGTCTATTGCGGTGAAGCTACGCTGTATACTAATTTTAAAGAATAGTTTATTAAATCATTATTATAAGTATATATATGTTGCAATATGCATCTTTGTTTTCGAATAAATAACTTTATTTGATAATAAAAAAAATTGATTATTATATCGAGCCAGCTTTTAATCATAAATTTGGAAAATTCATAAAAATCCTCTTTTTTATAACAATATGATTGGTATAAACATCTGAAAAAGGCAAACAACCATATATGTATACATAAATGCACGTTTTGTTACAATATGACCATATATATATATATGTGCGTGCGTGCGTACGCGCGTTTGCGCGTGTGTGCGTAAGTAAGTGTATATGTATATATGTATGTGTATGTATATAAAATATACGTACATATATATACGTTAAATAGATTTATCGACTTTTGTTGCACAATTTACAGTGCGATTGACACTCTTCTAATATGTAAATTTAAAAAATGTATAATATAATTTTTCATTGAATCATCGGGCATTAAATACAAGTCGCTCAGCGATCGTATTAATTTCAACACAGCGTTTTGCCCTAATTAAACTAAAGAAGATAATGAGTTTGTTAGTCTCAAGTGAACTTATAATTGAAAAATTCTAATTAAGAAATAAAAATTGTATAGATACCGTTAGGCTCATTTTAATGCAGATAGAAATGAGAAAGAATTGAAGTACGAGGGACATTGATTATGAGAAAATAAACCTAAGTACGCATAATTTACTTATATTACACTTCTTCTATTGCATTTTATTATCCTAGGTAGGGAACGGCAATCTAATATGGACGTGTTGTATAAATTTTTATTTCATAATTAATGTTCCTCAATAAATGCCTAAATCATCAGTAATAAAAAAGACGTTCATTTGTCATGTAATAATATTACTTGTGTATCACAAGTAATAGAGTACCAGCAGATAAAACTTTAATTGGACGCTACAAACACAAGAAGTAACATTTCCTAAATACAGAAGTAGTATATGTATATATATATATATACTACAGGAAAGAGGAGAGTGCACACCTACTTCTCATGAAGTATTAAATGAACAGAATAAGACATTGTGCATAGTTAATAGATTTGTTATACTTCCTCTATACAAGTGTATATTGGTAAATAAAGTCACACAAACGCTATATAGCTTGAGAGACACTTGATCAACAATAAGAAAATTTTATACAAATTTTACAAATAGATATGAAAGATATTTAATACTATGAGAGAAATGGAGCTATTCTAAATTTTATAACAATAATTTAGTATCTCATTTTTTTAATAGTTTACTACTCATTTATTTAAAAAAATAATTTAAACAAATTAAATAAAATTTATTTTGATGAATAATTAAATACTAAAATATTAATGATCCTAAATGTATATCTGTTTAATATAGTATATATAAAAAGATTATGTATATATACACACACACACATGTATATGTATATAAATATACATATATGTATGTATGTCGTGTATGTGTGTATGAGTGTGTTTGTGTGTGTGCGTGTATGTATATGTATATAAATTAAAGACTTGTAATAGAGTATTTCTAAAGAATGTACAAGTGCACTGTGCAGCATTGCATGAATAGTTCTCTATTCATTTTCGTTGAGAAATTCATTAGTCTCAACTCATTATTAATTTATTCATATATTACTTCATGTTTCCTACGATATAAATATGTAAAATAACATTATTGTGTGGGAAACGGAGCACTTCCTAGTTGTGATGTTAACAATAGAGAATTTGTGTACGAAGCGAAAGTGAAAAAGTGAATCAGATTTATTATTATCATATTTATTGCGAAAACAAAGCAGTATTATTAAATGCGCATTAATATATGCGCGACAACGATCGAGGATTCTACTAGCAATTAATGTCATTTTTATTATGAAAAGAAAAGAGTGACACATTCACAACAAACACAAAAAGGCAAAAATGACGATATACGCATCTATAAAAAAAATTGCGCGATTGTAGAGTGATTGGGAAAGAGAGGGAAAAGAAAGGAAATTTGACATTGGACTTTATGCAAGTATACGTGCGAAATGATAATTAACGAAACAATTCCTAGTTATCTGATTAATGAGTATCAGTAACATTATATTATCACTACCACTATAGTTGCTACTACTAACTTTACGATTATATTATTACTATATATAAAACTACTATTACTAGAAAAAAACTACCGTTATCTTATTATTATTACACAAAAAACTATTACTTATCGCTATAAATTGTCCTTGTAATTTTTATATGCCAAGTGTATACTTTAATAGGGTAACAAAGAAAATGATGAGAGACAAGCCGCAGAAAATGTAATATAACGCTCCTTTAAAGGGAAAGAGCAAAAATTATGTTAATTGGGCTATGACTTATAAATATATTGTATAAGAGGATTAATAATAATAATAATAATAATAACAATAATAATAATAATAACTATTATTGAATGATTCGGTGAATTGTGTAATTTATCCATCAATTATACATCGTAAGCGAATGATGTTGATTATTTATTGTATTGAGTTGATTATCGTATAATACAAATTGTCATTATTAATTTTCATATATATATATATATATATATATATATATATATATATTTATCATAACACAATGATCTATAAATGTATTTTATATACTATAATCTCAAATCAATATAATGTATAGATCTCCACATGTTAAAAATAATTTCTAAAAATTTTCTTCCTAGAAATGTAGAAATATAAACTATGTCATGAGTATTTTAACATTCATTTTTTTTATTTTTAAACTACTTTTCTTCTTTTTTTATTTACATTTCAATCCGTATATATCTCAACTTTTTCGCGTTCTTGTACTTTTTTTGTCAGCTTATATTTGAAATGAATGAATAAAAACATCGATTATGAGCATCAAATTACTGGTGAGAAACGATTAGAGATCTCGAAGAACCCTTTCATCTGCTCGTTCAATAATTAAAAAAAGTATTTAATTAAATTATTATATATATATACATATATAATCATCTCATAAAATTTAAATCTATGTGTGTATATATAAGATTTCTCTATACAGCTTTTTTCATTTCTGATTTATCAAATTATTTATTAATTATATCGCGCAATGGCGAAATATAAAAAAATAATATTCCTGTTGTGTTTGAATCAATAATATATTATTTAAATCACACAATTTACATTTAATTTTATTACTTTTTTGCTCATATTTATATATGCAAGACAATTTTAAGTATATAAATTGTCGGATTAGAAGAAACTTGAGAGTGTCTTAAATTCGAGATACTTATTTAGCGTCTAGTACGACCATGTTAGTCATTTACAGTCGTTTATATATATGTAAATAAACATGATAGGTTGACAAGAACTCAGAGTCCTTGTGTTCTTTATGTCTTGTTTTTGAAGTAAGATCTTCGAATTTTTGCGAGTTCGCACAGTACGAGTGGAACAACCATGGAGGACGAAGCTGTAGAGCAAATCGAGGCCGGAGCTATGGCAGTAGAGCCGAAAATCGAACATATAATAAAATCGGAAAATGACAATAAATCATACAGAGGATTAACAGTTAATCAAATAAAGGTGCTTTTAATAAGCGATCCAACGACTGAGAAGAGTGCCGTAGCATTGGATGTTAATATTGGTAATTTTTTAAAATATTTTATTCTTTTATATCGCGCAGAACAATTTTGGAAACTTAGCTATTAGATAGCAATTTATATTGGTAACTTTTTTCATTGCAATTATATTGAATTTAACCATAAAAATGATTTAAAAAGTTATTTATTTAAACATTTTGGAAAAATGAAAATAATATAATTAATATTTCATACGTCACGCTATGAATTGGTAAATTATATACTGAAAATCTTTTTCTTATTATTCTGCATTATAATAAATGCATATATAACCCAATCTGTAGGTATCCTACTTTTTTCACAACAACGAATTGTGTTGATAATTGATTAAGAATTATATATGTAATAATTTACCCTATAAGCGCATGATATTATTTAATATTTAAGCAATATTCTAGGCGCATTTTAGAATATTTCATATTCTAAGAATACGCCTAGAATATTAAATAATATCATGCGCTTATAGGGTACGAATTGAAAAAAGACTCTTCATTGTATTTTATTAATTTATACTCTGAACAATATATCGAAAAATTAATTCATTTCAATTCACAAGAAAACAATTTATATGATTTCTTGTTTTTGACGTTTAATTCAAAATTATTGCAGTGTGAACGCGGCCAGAGACTTTAAAATAACATTTAAGAGATATAGTACAAGAATACTTTATCTATTTGTGATAAACTTTATTTTTCCCTGATTCGAAATTTTTTGCAAATAAATCGATGCAATTGTGTCTGATACATTTAATAATAACCGTAATGACACATGTTAAAAAAATGAAATTATATATTATATATAATTTATTTCCTACATCACATTTCACAATTTTGTTTGCGTATTTTGCGTCTAAAAATAAAATAGCATTATTTTATGATTTGCTTAGATATTCTTAGCAAGTTTTGTGGATAAAAAGTATATATTTTACTTGAGAAAGGTCTACATTTGTAAACACATATGACATATGACCTTGCTTTATTCTCAATATAAATATGCTAATAAAATTTAGTAAAGACAAATCTATATATGTATAACATGTTCCAAAGACGTTGGATGTTTGTTAAATTACATATTCTATACATATTTTGGCAATTATTTTTGGGAGTACTGTACATAGGAAGATTACGTATATATCCAAAATATCATATAACATCTAATTTGAACTACAACAATTATTTGTACAGTTAGCGTATGTACAAAATTATTTTTTATGGAAAAATAATTCCTGAAAAATAGGTACATATGTAGACAGCAATGATTACATTATAAATAAAGATTTTAAGGACATTACAACAGACAAATGTGTTTATGTGAAATAGGATGATTTCAAAATTAGACTATATAAAAAAATGTCCATCCTTTCTTGTTTACTAAAAAGTATATATGTGTGTGTATGTGCGTGTGAAATTAAAAAATATATTTATTTCTGTCTTTTTTCCTAATGTATTTAAATAATATTTATTATACACACTAAAAAAAAATTTACTAATTCTTATAAGTATTTATTTCAATACTGTCAAATAAATCATTTACTTGAAACTAATAATATTTATTTGATATGAAAAATATTTATTTCATATAAGAAAATCTTTTTCAAAAAATATTTATTTCAAATAAATGATTCATTTGACAGTATTGAACTAAATATGTATTAATTTAGTCATTTTTTTTCAGTGCATATATGTAGCTATAAAATTGTTATAATATTATATATTTGATTAATACGATTTTTAAATCAACATTTAATAAGTTGTTATTTATGAATTGCATAGTTATTCAAGTAGTAATAAAGTATGTTTCTGCAGGCTCTATCCTTGATCCGGATAATATGTCAGGATTAGCGCAATTACTGCAACAAATGTTATATTTAACGAAAGTGAACGTTAACCAGCAGTACTTTAGAAATTCGGTAGAGAATAATAATGGCAAGATAGAGGGTGAAGTAAATGAAGACCATAGCACCTATTATTTTGATATATCTCCGACCGAGAGGTTCCAATTCAAAAATGCTTTAAAGACGTTTGCTGCTTTTTCCCAGTCTTCCCCAACATCGTCGACATAGACGTATTAAAAAATGCAATAAATGGCATGCGCGAAGTGAGAAACCTAACGAGAAACCTAATGGAACAAATAATATAGAGGCATTGACTCAATTGTTTAAATGGACCATAAACTGCGATCATTTGATGTCGAAGCGCGGCTACGATGTTACACACGCAACAAACGAAGATTATCTTACAATAATAGATCAACTGGTTATGTTCTATGAAAGTTATTATTACGCTCATAATATGTCACTGTGCGTCTATAGTAAAGGTATGGTACATATAATATAATAATAATTTACTTATAATTAATAAATATAGAATATGTGTGTATTTTCTATATACTTTCTAACTTCATCTATAGATTTCTATATTAATTATCTTTGAAATAATTATTTTCGTATATAAAATTGTTTAAAAAATTGTTACATATACATATATAACATGTATACATTTATATACATATATATGTATGACTATTATGTACTTATAATTTCTTATTTCGTATTACTTTACTCCGTATTTATTAATGAGACGGTTTTACTACAATTATATATCATTTTATTATATATCGTTTATTTTGGAAGAGAAAATATCAACTAATAATAATTCATAGAAATATTTGTAAGATACTTTTTATATTAATTTGTTTTGATGTTGTTGCATGTGCAAATTGTTTATTATATTTCATTGTCAGTTAATCATCTTTCTTTTTAACAATTAATAATCCAAATCTCCAAAATCAATTATTAACATTAATAATAATATCAATATTAATAATTATAATAATTGTCAGAAAAATTATGTAGTAAATAGTAATTCTTTTAGCATTGTATGTATGTATATGTATATATTATATATATACACAGTGCGTCTACAAAGTTTGTTAGATTAATTAAAAATAATAAGTCTCTAAAAGTATCATAATTTCTGTTACTCTTCAACATGATCCCATTTCAACATAATCCTTTGCAATTAAAAAAAATGTCATTTTGATTCCATCTCAGCTATCCAGAAAAAATACTATTTTAAGTATTTTTGGTGTATGTAATGGATGTGTTGTTATGTTTAATATAATGTTTATTTTATTAATGTTAACGAATAATTTTTTTATTTAGATAGTTTAAATGAACTTCAAGAATGGGTAATAGAGAGCTTCTCTAACATAAGATCAAAAGATGCTGCAATTGTTCCTCATATGAAACTGTACCATTGGCATCCAGTTGACTTTACATCTGCGTATAAAATATGGTGTGCTCCATACAACCAAAATTCACCGTATACAAGATTATATATTATATTTCCTACAGAGGAATTTAAAAATTGTCGATATACGGTAAGACAACTTTATATATAGCTTCGATATTTTTATTATATACACACATATATACACACACACACACACACAAAATGAATGTGCACAATACGTAACAATTAAATATAATATTTAATTATAATTTAATTTTAATTGTGATATCATATATATGTTAATAATTTTGTACCACGATAATTTCTTTGGAGATTCATACATTTTATGTTTTACTAATATTACTTATTGTTATAATGTAGATTGCGCTAGAACATTTTTTCGCCTATTTATTCAAATATAATGGCAAAGAATCATTTCTATCAGTTTTAAAGACTAAAGGTTGGGGTTGTTCCATGGAAGTTAAAAATCTCTTCGCTTCTATATGTTGTATCATTTTCAATATTGGTATTGATCTAACTGACGAAGGTCTTAAGCATATCGATGATATCATGACATTGTTTATTCAATATGTTAAAATGTTGAAGGAATACGACGACAACAAACTCAGGAAGATATATAATGTAAGTAATGAAAAATTGTGTAATCTTATACTAGAAATCTATTATAATATTATGATATATATATATATATATATATATATATATATATATATACACACACATACATACATACACACATCTATATAGTCAATGATGATTTCTTGTAAATAAATGAGTAAAATAAAGAATACACAGATACATTTTTATATTAAAACTTATTTGTGCTCAGGATATATGAATATATATATATATAGAACATGCTTAGAATATATAATTCTTTATAAGTCGCAATTCGAATGATTTCTGACGTAATAAGCCTTATTATAACTGTATACTGCATTATAAGTATATATTCGCAAAGCATTAAAAAAAAATATACATATATTGTGACATACATAGATTACGTGTAAAAAAAATTTGAAATGTACATGACAAGTGTGTGTATGTTTAATTCGTCAGTAGATGCAAACAAATATTAATACGCAATCAAATATCAGACGCAAACAATCAAGTTTAACAATGAAAATTATTTTAGTGAAAAGAAATATTAGCAAAATTATTAGCAATCAAGAAAAAACTCGCCCATCTTCAATTCGGTTTATTTTTTCATAAGGATTATCAATTTTAATAATATACAATCGCGATATTTTTAATATATGATGCACGTATAATATTGTATATACATATATAGGATATCTTATTTGTAGGAATATCAAGAAATCAATGAATTACAATTTCATCGTCCAGTTTTTGAAGAGAAAACATCTATTGAAAATGTGAAAATCATTTCCAAAGAGTTGCATTATACAATGAATATAAAAGATATTTTGCGTCTAAAACATGTTCCCATCGTCAATTCCGAGCGGATTATTAAAGATGTAATAAACAATTTCTTAACGTCGCAATGTTTGAGGATTTATATAATTGCGAAAGAGTACAACAATTGTACAGAGGAGTTGGAACCTTGGTGTAGTTATAAATATAAGAAAGAAGAAATATCGACGAGAACATTGTCTAATTGGATGAATAATCAATGTGCGAAATTGAGTTTACCCGCTTACAATCAATTTATACCAACAAAGTTTAACATAAAACCAGACGAAGATAATGTAATTAAAAATGTCACATTTTCATAACATATTAATCATTAAGCATTTATAAAATATGAAATTTTCGTTATAAAATTCAAACAATATTTGTGATTATCGAAATATTGTTATGAGAGTATATCGAAATATATATATATAAATATAAATATATTAAAATAAATTAAAATACATATTTATATATAAATTCTTAATATTCAGTTGGATATATAGGATATAGATTGGAATAGTATAGCTTGCTTATTATTATTGTTTACGAGTTAATCTATATAAGATATTGCCATAATGTTGTGATTCGAAAGAGACTTTAAAAACGTAGTTCTTTGTGCAAAAATAAATAAAAATATAAAATAATTTTATACACAAGTCTTAGTTTAAAAAAAATAAATTTCAAAAATTGAAAAAAAAAAAATATAATTATTTTTGTTTGTTAATTTCAAATAAGATTAAATCGATAAATTGCTGAATACGTGTGTGCGTATTCCAATAGGTTAGATTACTTTTAATTATTTCTATATCTATTAAAAGAATAGGATATCGTGTCTTTAAATTGTATTTCTATAGACATTATTTATAAAAATAAATCAATTGTATCATGATATGTCACATATAATTTTTATTAAGAATTATTCAAATTTTTGAGAGATGCAAAATATTATCCATATTATTCATCTTTAAAAATTGAGAAATGAAGCTCTCAAAGGAGATTTGATTACATTGCTTTAAATTTGTTTTTGCAGAAAAATATAATTTCTTTTGTCCGCGTGATTGTATCACGGTTTTGATATACCTTTATAGTTGTAGATGACATGTGGAATTTTTACAGGTCGAAGAAAAGAATCCTACCATTATATGGAACACAGAATTCGTAAGACTTTGGTATAAGAAAGATGATGAGTTTAACGAACCGAAAGCCATCATGCACTTTCATTTTATCTCGTATGCAGACAACAATAAAAATTTAAATAAATTCTATTCTTGTAGTTATTACGGTAAAGTCATAATTATATATGTATTTTCAGTCCAACCGCTTATGAGAATTCTTTTAATGCTAATTTAATGAATCTATTTATACGGCTTATTAACAATTCTCTCAGTGAGTATTTATATCCTGCTGCTTTAGTTGACTTGAAATGTAAAATTTTCGCTACTATATATGGAATGCAAGTGAGTAAATTAATAATAAAGAAAACATAATAATAATTTAAGTATTTTAAGATACATAGGACAAAATTAAAAATCATGAGCAAAATATTTCCTCATTCGTTTGTTATTTATTCCAAGTTTGATCAATTAATCAATTCTGTGTCTTTGTGTACGATACTTAATAACTTGTATTGACCTGAAACTGTATAAGTATACAACATACATATAAGCTTATGTTAAGATTAATTATTTTCTTAGCTTGATATATTTGGTTATGATGACAAGCAATATATATTGTTGGAAAAAATTGTCAACCGTATACTAAATTTTCAATTAAGTCCGGAGAATTTCGAAATTCATAGGAAAAATGTACGTATAATGAGATATAAAGCTTTTCGTTGAATTGCATGTTATATTTAGAATGATTTTTGCAGCATATACAGTCTTGCGCAAAGCAGTTAACACTGTTCGCAAATGAACCAACATGTAATCAAGCAAACTACTATCTTTCAATGCTGCTAAACAATTATTTGTTGGCTCGAGATGAAATATTAACACTAAGAGAAGGTAAATATGTATGTGTAAAAATATGTTAACATATTAATAAAAATGTCTATGTCTGTTTTCTCATAAAAAAATCTTTTCTTTAAAAAGTTTCTTTTTAAACATGTAATTATCGCATTTATATGTATATAAATAATTAAATATCTAGATTATTAAATTTTAATGATAAAAGCTATTAAAATAACAAAATAAGAATAATTAAACTTTGATTTGAAAGTTTATAAAATTTATATGCGTATTTATACTATACACACACGTGTTATGTATTATATATTTTATACATACAGCTATACATACATACATACATATTTTTGTGTGTATGTACATTGAAAAAAAAGTTTATTGAATTAACAAATATTCAGTTCAATACGTTCAAATAAATCATTTATTTGAAACAAATAAATATTTATTTGTCTTGAAAAGGATTTTCTTATATCAAATGAATATTTTTTTATATCAAATAAATGATTCATTTGAACGTATTGAATTAAATATTTGTTAATTTAACAAACTTTTTTTCAGTGTATGGCTATATGTATATGCGCGTATGTATATATATATATATATATATATATATATATATATATATATACATGTATACACGTGACTAAAAGTTTCTCTACGATAATGTTACACAGAAATTACTTTTAAAAGAGTCCAACAGTTCAAATCAGATTTATTCAGTTCGATGTATGTGGAATGCTTAATATATGGTAATAAAACTAGAGCAGAAGCTTTAGAGATAGCTCATCTTATTGACAACAAATTGTCAGATGGCATACCATTGAAAATGCCATTCCATGAAATGCACCGTGATTTTAAATGTGAACTGCGACATAATATAAAATTTAATAAAATAAGAGGTAAGCAATATACAATTAATTTATAATTGTAATAGAAAAATTAAGGTCAATTCCCGATAAATATTTAGTTTTTTGTTTCATTGTTTTATTAGGTACTACAGCAAACATTATTGCATATAATAGAAAAAAGTTCTCAGGAAAAAAGTTTATATACAGAATGAAATATATATAAAATAAGTGGTTGTAAAGTTATACATATAATAAAACAAAATTTATGTTATTATCATAATAAATAATGATAAGTAAGCACTTAACTTATAAGAAATGCCCAAAATGGTTGCAATATATATGATTGAAAATAGCCATATTTTTATCTATGAGGACACATAAAACGTCTGGTGTATTTACAATCTACTGCATGATGATGCAGAAAAGATATTACGCCATATATTATTATTAATGTTTGTGATATTATACGAAATCATCCAGAAATAATTTCAAATAATTCGACAAATGCTTATTTTGTCATGATAATGGCGATTATTTTGAGCACTTGTAATAAGTTATACATAATGCTTACTTATATGATTCCTTAATAATCATAATATTAACATAAACTTTTTTCTTTATTTTGATGTGAGGAATAAACCTTAGAAGTTTGTCCAAGCAGTATTTTATCGCAAACATCCTATGTATATATTGTATATACATATATACATATGTGTGTGTGTATGTATTAGATAGTATATTTTCATTTTAGATGGTTATCTTATATTAACTGAAGAAAAAGTTTCTTGAAAGCTTTGTACAGCTCTTTTACGAAATTGGTAAGCGAACGATACAATCAGATGTGTTGTTACATCTCATAACACAAATAATTTATGAACCTCTTAATAAGTTAAGAGGCGAGAAATGTGGAGCGATGTACTAGATACTGATGTATACACATCAAATCAAATACAAGGTTTGAAAATCTTAATTATACATTTAAGATTGGCTGATGATGAAATAATTGAACAAATTGAAAACTGCCATGAACAATTTTATAAAGGTAAATATTGCATTAGCATTAATTTTATGTTATATCTGATGTTATATTAGGTGCGATTTAATTTTATATGTGAATGATCTAATATTATGATATAAAATGTGTCTAAAAAAATTAATCGGAAATGTATATAGGATGTCTTTCACATAAGACTTTGTTTTCAATAGAGTTTTAATATAAACATTTCGAACTTAATATTATTTTATGTCATTTCTAAGTTAGATAATTTAATGTTGCGATACATAAATAACCAAATGTGCATCTATATATACATATAATATAATATAATATAAAAAAATGAGAAACTATAATATATATTATATAAAATATACTACTACTAAAAAGAGAAACACGGTTCATACCTTCTCATACCTAAATTATGCTATTTTTAAACGGTTGAAACTCGGTAAAAATCATCGTAGACAAAAAAATAAAAAACATTTTAAAACTTACAATTTTAACTTTTATTCGATAATTTCAGCGGTTTAAAAATAGCATAATTTTTAAAATATGAAAAGTGTTCCCTATTTTTTTTAGTAAATGTATGTATAGTATTTGAAATTATTCAATGTGAAGAAATACAATCTAAAATCTTTACAACATATATATAGAATACTAACAAGTATAACAAAACAAATTATATATTGTTACAAAAGTATAATATATAATATTATGAAATTACATTTTTTATATAACAAAACAAATTATATATTGTATAACAAAACAAATTAATATTGTTACAAAAGTATAATATATAATATTATGAAATTACATTTTTTTTAATATAAGTATATAATATTTCAGGAATTCATAAGTCAAAATGTTGAAGAAGAGTTTCAGCAGAACAAACAATTATTGGCTGATTCATATAACGAAAATAAACCGAAAACGCTTTATAACGCATCTAACTGCTTTCTGGGCTGAGATTTTGAATCAAGAATATAAGTTCAATCGAATCGATGATCAATTAAATGAATTGGAAAAAACTACGAAGAACGATTTATGTACATTTTTCGAGGTAATTATTATATAACTTTTCTTATGTGTATATAACAAACTGTTATATTATCGAAAAAATAATGATTCTTCTCTATCATGCTTTTTATGGGAAAATAAGTAAAAATACAATCAAAATTCTTTTAAATTTTTTTAAATTAAGCTTAGCATTGTTTAGTTTTATATCAATTTTTAATTTATAATAGTTTAGCATTCAAATGAAAAGATTTTAAAAAAATATATAATATATAGTATATTTGTTTAATTTCTCGTTTTATTAAACCAATTTGATTCTTTAAACAAAATATTTTTAAACACAACTTTGTCATTAATGTATCGATACCGACTGTTAGAATATATGAACTATAAAATACAACACATTCTATCTGAAAAAATAACAAATATATTTGATATTAAAAAAACTTATTGTTAGAGTATCTTTAAAATTTGAAATAAAGAAATTTAGTATTTTTATGTAAAAAATCATCTTTTTCGATTATATCATATATTATCTGTATGTCTGTCTAATCTAATATAAATTTTACTAGTTTAAAGTTATGGCAAATAAAATCGATTTATCCTTTTAAAAAAATAATTATAATAAATCCATACAAGTTCTTAGTTATAAATTGCAATTATTATCTTTTTTTATTCACTCTGATAAATAATTTTCAAAAATATATAACTATTTTTAAGAACTTTTAATATATGAGAACTAGAAACAAGTATGAAAAAGATTCAACGCATGGATAAAGAATATGTTATTTCTCAATAAAAAAATTTAATGATATTTTTAGTAATAAAATTTTTCTCTTAAACACTGGGACATTTATTGTGTTAATGCGTGTTTGATTGTTTCAAGTATAGTATATAATGTTTATATGATTTTATGTATAATTTTTAGGATGTTAAATTCAACTAAGAAAAACAATATTGGGTCATTTTTATAAATAATTAATATGGCTAAAATGCATATTTTATTCGAATTACATAGAAAAAGCTGATAGAGAAAATTACAAAAGGAGATCAGAGAATATCAATATATTATGTCAATTCAAAGAATGTCATTTCAAAAAAACAATTGTATTTGATACTAAGCCTATGGAAGAAAAGGTACTCTAATGTATTAATGTGAAATTATTAATTTAAATCAAAACAGAAAGAAAATTG